CAATTCCCTTCAGTTCTCCCCAGTTTCCACAAACTCCCTCTATTTCCCCTGAATTCCCTCAATCCCCCCCAATTCCCTTCAGTTCTCCCCAGTTTCCACAAACTCCCTCTAATTCCCCTCAATTTCCTCAATCCCCCCCAATTCCCTTCAGTTCTCCCCAGTTTCCACAAACTCCCTCTAATTCCCCTCAATTCCCTCAACTCCCCCTAATTCCTCATGGTTTTCCTCCAGTTCCCCTCAGTTCTCCCAAGTTTCCCCCCTGCTCCTCATAATTCCCCTCAGTTCCCCCCATCCTCTCAATTTCCCCCCAATTCTCCCCAGTTTCCCTCAATTTCCCTTGAATTCCCCCAAATCCCCTCCAATCCCTCCCAATTTCCCCCAATTGCTCCTTCATTCCTCTGTTTCCTCCATTTCCCCCCAGTTTTCCCACCACAGGTGGGCCCCCCGAGCCCCCATTCGGGATCGTTTTCCCAACAGCTGACATCCACTCATTTTTCCACACTTTTCCTCCACTTTTCCACCCTTTTCCTCCACCAAACCCCGTTCCCGACAGCGTTTGCGACCTTCCCCCGGGGTCATGGTTAATTTTTGATCGGGGCCATTGGGTCACGGAGCTCCGCGGCTGCGCTAAAATCCGCAGGGAATAAAATACATCCGGCGGCTTCCGTGGCCGGAGACGAACTCTGCCCCGGGGGCAATTCCCATTGGGGGCGATTCCTATGGGGCTGCCTCTCACGGGGGCGCGTGATTCCCAYGGGGAGCAGTTGGATTCCCACGGGAGGGGATTCCCGTGGAGGCAATTCCCTTGGGGACCATTCCTGGGGAGCAGCTTCCCACTGAGGGGCGGGTGCTTCCCATCGGGGTAATCCCTGCCGGGTGCCATTCCCAAGGGCTCTGCCTCCCGCTGAAGCGATCCCTAGGCCCTCTATCCCCACGGGACCCATTTCCACAGGGCGAGGCGGGTCAAATCCCCCGGGACACGATTCCCACAAGGGCGAATCCCGTGGCGGGAGCGGTGCAGAGGGAGAAGCTCCCCCCGGAGCGATGCCCAGAGCGGGTGGCGCATCCCGTGGGCGGGCGGCAATTCCCGCGAATCCTATGGGAAGGCGCATGGGATGTGCCCCRCATCGCGCTCCCCCCACGGCCAGGCATCCACTACGTGGGGCAGATGGCGGAGGGCTCGGCCACGCGCTTCCTGCTGGACCAGCTCACGGAGGGGCAGCTGCAGTGGGCGCCGCTGCCCGCCGCCTTCGACGCCGTGGTGCTGGGCGAGCCGGGCGCCGGGCGCACCGTGCGCCTCCACGCCGGCGCCCGCCGCTACTTCGACGCCCTCAAGCAGCAGTTCCCGCGCGAGGCCGCCGCCATCGACGCCTTCCGGAGCCTCCTGAAGGTATCCCGGGTGGAATCCGCGGGAAAATGCCCGCTTCGGGGTGTAGCCTCCCCGCGGGGATTTATTGTCACCCGGGGCGTGCARCGCTGGGGATCCCGCGGCACCGGGATGCTCCTGCATCCRTGGGGTGCCCCGCGAGCACYGGGATGCTCCCGCGTGCACAGGGTGCCCTGCGAGCGCCGGGATGCTCCCGCATGTGTGGGGTGCCCTGCAAGCACCAGGATGCTTCCACATTCATGGGACGCAGCGAGAGCGCCGCGATGCTCCCGCATCTGTGGGGCGCCTCCAAGCGCCGGGATGTTCCCGCATCTATGGGGCGCCCCGCGAGCACCGGGATGCTCCCGCATCCGTGGGGCACCTCTGAGTGCCTTGATGCTCCGGCATCCGTGAGGCGCCCCCGAGGCCGGGATGCTCCCGCGTCCCTGGGGCGCCCCACGAGTGCCGGGATGTTCCCACATCCATGGGGCGCCCTGTGAACACCAGGGTGCTCCCGCATCCGTGGGGCACCCCATGAGCGCCGCGATGCTCCCGCATCCGTGGGGCGCCCCCGAGGCCGGGATGCTCCCACGTCCATGGGGCACCCCGCGAGCACCGTGATGCTCCCGCATCCATGGGGCGCCCCAGAGGCCGGGATGCTCCCACATCCATGGGGCGCCCCGCGAGCACCGTGATGCTCCCGCATCCATGGGGCGCCTCTGAGCGCCGTGATGCTCCCGCATCCATGGGGCGCCCCCGAGGCTGGCATGCTCCCGCATCCGCGGGGCACCCCATGGGCACCACGATGCTCCCACGTCCCCGGGGCACCCCCAAGCGCTGCGTGCCCCCCTCTTTGCAGAGCATAGGCCGGGGGACGGTGCTGCTGATTGTGCTGAAGCTGCTGCCGCTGCCGCTCGCCCGCTGGCTCTGCCGCTCGGGGCTCCTGAGCCGCCTGAGCTCCTTCTGCCGCCTGGCAGCGCGGAGCCTGCAGGAGGTCACGGAGGAGCTCACGGCCGACGCCGACCTCCGCGCCGTGCTCAGCTACATCTTCCCCACCTACGGTAGGGCGGCCCCGGCCGGCGCGGGGCGCCCGGTGCCGCCGCGGGAGCCGGGATCGCCCCCCGGAGCATCCCGCATTAGCGGCCGGCGATCGGCTTAGGCGGGGGACAAGCTGGACCCGGCTAATCCGGAGCTTCGCCCTTTCGCCCTCCGACTTCTTCCCCGGCAGGAGGAAGCGGTGCCAGGGGCTTTGCAATGGGAAGGGGAGCCTTGGAAAGGGGATTTGGGGCTGGAGAGAGGGCTGGAGTGTCTGGGGCTTTCGATGGGAATGGGAGCCTTGGAAAGGGGATTTGGGGCTGCAAGAGGGCTGGAGTGCCAGGGGCTCTTGATGGGAAGGGGAGCCTGGGAAAGGGGATTTGGGGTTGGAGAGAGGAATGAAGTGCTAGGGCTCTTGATGGGAATGGGAGCCTTGGAAAGGGGATTTGGGGTTGGAGAGAGGAATGAAGTGCTAGGGCTCTTGATGGGAATGGGAGCCTTGGAAAGGGGATTTGGGGTTGGAGAGAGGGCTGGAGTGCCACAGGCTTTGCAATGGGAAGGGGAGCCTGGGAAAGGGGATTTGGGCTGCAAGAGGGCTGGAGTGCCAGGGCTCTTGATGGGAATGGGAGCCTTGGAAATGGGATTTGGGGCTGCAAGAGGGCTGGAGTGCCAGGGCTCTTGATGGGAATGGGAGCCAATCCCGCGGGGCTGAAAGCGTCTCCCGGGGGCGGCTCCCGCAGGAGCGGTGCCATCCGAGTGCAGCTTCTCCATGCACGGCATCCTGGTCACCCACTTCCTGGGGGGCGCCTGGTACCCGCGGGGGGGCGCGGGYGAAATCGCCTTCCACACGATCGGCGTGATCCAGCGCGCGGGCGGCGACGTCCTCGGCCGGGCGCCCGTGAGCCGCATCCTGCTCGACGGCCAGGGCCGCGCGTGCGGTGAGTCCCGGCGCATCCCGGCGCATCCCGGCGGAGCGGCCCTGGGATTCGCTCCCCATCCGTGTGCTCGTCCCGCCGCAGGGGTGGCCGTGAAGAAGGGGAAGGAGGAGGTGAACGTCTACGCGCCCGTGGTCATTTCGGATGCCGGGATCTTCAACACCTACGAGCGGCTGCTGCCGGCGGAGGCGCGGGCGCTGCCGGGTACCGTGAATCCCCCTCCGTGCCCACATCCGCAAAGGCGACAGGCTGGTGCCRGCAAAACCTCCCAGGGGAAAGCCTGAGCTCGGGCAGGAAAAGGGAGGGAATCCGAAAATTACCCCCTCGGGTTGGGAAGAGGATGTTTCGGGGTGGGAAATCCCGGTGCATCCTGATGCACACCGAAGGATGCGCTTGGATCAATGCAAGGAGATCACAGGGTTTSGGGAGCCGAATCGCTCTTAGGAGCTGGGAAAGCAGGACTTGAGCTGGAAGGTGCCGCTGCTCCGTGGCTGGGAATTATCCGATTCCCGGCTCCTCCCGCAGAGATCCAGGCGCAGCTGCAGCTCGTGAAGCACGGCGAGGCCGGCTTCTCCGTCTTCGTGGGGCTCAAYGGCTCCAAGGAGGAGCTGGGCCTCGAATCCACCAATTATTTCGTCTACCGGGGAAATGACCTGGATCAACAGTAAGGAAAACTCCGGGTGTCCGGGCCGGGCGGCGGGAGCCGGCAGCTCCGGCACTCCGTCTTCCATGTGTTCCCGCAGGATGAGGCGCTACCTGGCATCATCCAGGGAGGAGGCTGCGGAGAACATCCCCTTCCTCTTCATCACCTGCCCGTCATCCAAGGATCCCACCTGGGACATGAGGCATCCCGGTAAAGCTCCGGCTGGCTCCGAGGGCGCTGCTTAGCCGAGCAGGGCGCGTCAGGCAAATCCCCCCGGGATTTGCGGATATGGGGGAATGGACGCGGAGGGAATTGGTGCCTGTYGCGGCAGGCAAAGCCACCTTGGCCGTCGTGACGTTCGCCAACTACGAGTGGTTCGAGGAGTGGAAGGACGAGCCGGTGCAGAAGCGCGGGGAGGACTACGAGGATGCCAAGCGGGCCTTCGTGGACACCATCATGAGGACCGTCTACAAGCTCTACCCCAGCATCGAGGGCCGGGTGAGCAAAGGCAGCCGCGGGGACACCCTGGGATGACGCCCGGGTGCCGGGACCCTGCTCTGGGACCACAGCGGGGTCCCGCCGTCCCAGGGCGATGAGCACGTCTCTGGAAAGCACCCTGGGACGAGGTGCAGGTCCAAGAGA